AAAAATAAGTCTGCCAATTTCCGCGCAAATGTTGCAGTAAAGTCGGCCGGTGGCTTTTGTAACCAATGTATAGGCATTCGCAGTGTTAATGCGATTCTGCGGACCTATTTTCTCGAAATTTCCTGCACAAATGAAAAAAAAATACTGAAAAATTTAAAGAAAGTGTACAGAAAATATAATTAATGTTTCAGTAATAATAATTACGGTAATAATTTTATAATCAATATATCCCACTTAAGTAACTGCAGATTTTGGCAGTCCTTTGACTAGACAGTTTAGCTAGCACATTATTACTGCTCATGTTTTTCTTTTTTATATTGTGTATATCTGTTAATATTAACAGAAATTTGTAATTTTCTTAGAAATAATCCTAACAATTGAAACTTTCCATGAAATACTTTGCCTTTCCTTCCAGTTAGGTTGAATTTTTTTACCTTGCACCTTTTTCTTTACTATCCCTTTAATATCTATTTTCTTTTTAATATTGTTTAATCCTTTTTCTTATTTCATTTTTGATACTTACGGTACCTTTCTTTTAGTTTTTTCATTGTCATTTTCTTTCCACCATTTTACTTTACTTTTTTTTTAATTTCCTTCCTTTTGTTATTTCTTATTTATTTTTCTTGTTTTTTTTTCAATTTTTAAAAATCTCTTCTCTTTTTCTTTCATGTCTTCTTTCTTGAATAATAATCCATGGGGACAGTGTAGGTGTGGGTGGGTGGGTGTTTGTTAGGAAATATAAAGAATAAAATATTGCACAGTGCTTGTTATCTTAGGGGATGCGAAAAGGATGGGGAAATATGTGCTACTAAAAAAATTACTTGTGCTACCAATTTTTTTGGTGGTGTGCCAGAAAATTTTGGCAGTGCTACCATACATATATACATACATACATATATATATATATATATATATATATATATATTAAAATGGTGGAGACAAGCAATAATAACATAGGCGGTTGACGTTTTTTTAAGGATATATAAAAATTTATTAAACAACGAATATTTCGGGAGCGCCTGCTCTCTTCTTCAGCGTAATGCCTACTGCCTACTGAATTAAAAAAAACACCGGATTGAACAATTTATTAGTTCAAGTCTATGATGAAATAGAAATCTAATGATAAACAACTGATAAACAAAACGATCGATAGGTGGTCAAGTCAATATAAAGAATGCGTTCTCTTTAACATAATAATTAGGATTTGAGTATCTCTTAGCTAATTTGTTGATAAATGTATAGCCGCTTAAAATACCAAGGCCTTTGTTTAGACCCTGTGTGTGAGTGTCAAGTTTTAAAACCCAACGCATCTCATGATATTTTCTATCTTTGGTGGATTTATATCCATGGCCTATGATGATAAATTTCATGTTATTAATATTGTGGTCGGGCAAGTTGAAATGTTCACTAACAGTGGAAGTCTTATTCTTGTTTCGTATGAAACTTTTATGGTTGTTAATCGTAGATCTAATGGAGCATCCTGTTTCGCCTGCATATTGCCGTTGTTACATATATCGCAGTAAATAAAATAAACAACATTAGAAGATGTACAATCTAATGGAGGAGAGCGTATTTCATGATTAGTGCCCGGTACTGTGAATGGTGTGTCGGTGGTGATGATTTCGCAAAGTTGGCATCTCCTATTACCACAGGGTTTATTGCCTTGATCAGGGTGATGTTTGTATGTATATGTATGTGCATATGTATATGTATAATTATACATATATGTATGTGTATGTATTTGTGTATAATAATGTATTCCTTTTATACATTATAATTATAATTATAATTTTTTGTTTGTTTTTTACTTAATCATTGTTTACTTCCCAATAATTACTCCGTCTAAACATCGACGATTAAAACATATCATAGGGGTCATGACCTAAGTTCTCCGAACTTATTTTGAATTCCACCCACACATTTATTTCTCCATGCTGATTAATACTTACTATTTTCTTATAACTTACATATGAAAATTAAGCTTATTTACCTTGTATAAATATCCATTTTATATTATTAGTACAAATTAAAACGGCACTTGAGATTGTTTTATGATGTGTGGAAAATTTGAATAAACAAACAGACAGTACCCAAATTCCGGAACACCTTATGCCTATGATATTCGTAACAGTAATCTTTTGTAAATATTTGGGGTTTTTTTTACCCTGATGACCCCAATGTGACATTTGACCCATGTATGGGAGGTGTCAATGGTTTTAATGACCAAGTTTGATTGAAATCGGCTCAACCGTTTGCCACTAGTCTATAGCGTTTAGAAATGTTGCTAGAACAAAGCTAAAACTAGAAATTGCAAATTGCAAGTGAAGTGCTGCGAAGTAAAACTGCATAAAATGTTCTTCGAACAAAATTATTTATGCGAGTCAAGTGAAAATAATGAATAATAAAAATATAACAAATAATATGAGCACGACCAATTGTCTATATATTATTAGAACAGCGTTGGTACAATAGTGTTTTGCTGCAGTGACATCTCTCTGTCGGCGAAGGCTCGCTGCTGCTGGCGATGAGTCGCTGCTGGCGAATCGATCTGCGCATGTGTATAAAATGGTATTTATTTCCGCAAACACTATGCCAGTCTACAACAAGCGTCGCCTAAATGTAATAATTAGCACGTTGAAATAGGCTAGTAAATAAGTTTAACTGGGTTCGTAAATAATATTGTCCTCAAAATATTGTGGCTGAGACATGAGCCGATTAAACGTAGAAATAGGAAACCTAGAAATATAGTAAAAACGCTGAATAGTACTCCAGCGTCGCGACATGCCGACGTTGGTACGAGTAGGTTACAAACGTCGTCTACAAACGTCGCCTAAAATAATTGATTTTACCCGGCAGAACGAAAGAAGGAAACTCCGCTTTTCAGTTGTCTCAGGCGATTGGTTTTTGACAAACAATGACCTTTCAGAGGTCAAATTGCTGTCAAGAAAATGAATTGGCTGCTTCGCAGCAAAAAAAAATAAATAAATAAAAAACAGAACTCACATGATACCAACAATCTGTATACAGACTTATGAAAACTAAAAATTAAATGCACGTTGAAACTGGAGGTAAACATATCTTTATTTCAATGCAATCCTTGAATCTACATAAGGAATTACACATACACATCTTGTACGCCTTTTTGTATTTAGACAGGCCATAGCATCAATGTATTTAATATCTTACAAAAAGGGTTTTTGAAACAGAGGATACAAGGTTTTTTTTTTTTTTACCTTTTTTCGTACCAGTTAGCAACCTTTAAATTACATCTACAGTATTATGATTTTATGTAAGCTCTTCATTTCAATCTTGAATTGTATTTTGAGCCTTTTTATACCTGAATAAATTTTAAAAAAATAAATAAATTAGGAAAACTTTAAAACACAATTTTAAAAATGTAATTATTAACTTTAGCAGGCGATCTGAATGCTTATAAATTATATATATATATATATATAATATATATATATAATA